GGGTTTAGCAAATGAGATATATGATGAACCGGAGTCGCCAGATGCGGGGGGCATGTTTAAGATATATGATGAAGGGGCGTGTTCAAGATATGTGTTTTAGAGGTATGATGAACCGGCATCGCCAAATCAGGGGGGCGGGTTTGACATATATGATGAACCAGTATAGCCAAATCATTTGTCGTATTTAAGATATATGCTCAAGAACAACAGCAGCAGCAACAGCAACAACACAATCTATCTAGAGTGCCCGTCAGGTACACGACTGCGTGTGTGCGCGGAATGCAAAGTCACGTCTGCCCTCTCTCGTTGGAAAGCTTTCGCGAGAGCCATGCTGGTTCACCTCGCCAGGCATGCATCAAGACGCCATCGACAATGTTTGTCAAATAATCAGCTCCCTGTGCGTGCCTTGAGCTGCTTTGTCAGTCCCCAGCCCAGCTTGTTCAAGCCGCGCAAATGCGGTTGCAAATGGGGGGGCGGCGCCCTGCGCACAGGTCGCGGCCGGTGAAACGTTGGGGGCGGGTGTAGCAGTTTGGCAAAGGTGCAGAATTGGAATTGACAAATGAGGGAGCGTGTTCAAGATATAAGATGGGGCGTGGGGGGCATGTTTAAGATATGTGATGAACCTGGATTGCCAAATGAGGGGGCACGCCCGCTGGGGGATATGATGAACCGGAATCGCCACATCGGGGGGCGTGTTGAAGAGATGTTATGATGAAGCGGAATCGCCAAAGGAAGGGGCATTTTGAAGTTATATGATGAACCGGAATCGCCACATGAAGGGGCGCATTCAAGATGTATGATGAACTTGGATCGTCAAATGAGGAAGTGTTTAAGGAAAAACAACCCTCCACCAGGAGAAGCCAACAAAACAACCTTTATGTCCCAGCTGGTGTTCGCCCGGAATTCAGAACATGAGTGCTTGAGAGAAACTCCGAGGTTCTGAAGCTGGTGGACCAGACCTCGGAGCTTCAATCCGGGCTGAAGGCCCCGCGCGCTGTCTCTCCTCCGCTAGCGCTGATGTTGGACGGCTCATAAACCATAGCCATCGCCGGCAGCCCTAACTCTCTACTGCCAGAGCATCTCGGAGGCAACAGAGCAGAAAGAGCGCCTCCTGGGACGGCTGCTCGTTTATGCAGCTGTGCTGCAGGTCACCAAGGGCGAAGGGACGGGACCACTTGAATACCCTTGAATGCCATACGATGTTACTGGTAGTGTCTGAAAATAGGGGTGCATCAAAGCCGAAGGTTGGGAAGTGCGCTACCGTTGCTTGATGCTCAGACGGCTCAAGAAAGTTTTGCCAGCCCCTTGTGGGCGAGTCGAAGGATTAGGGGCTGGATTCGCCATCCACTGTCCAGCCATGGCCAGGAAAACATTCCCGATGTTGATACAGGACGACGATCAATCCAACAAGCTCTAGACTCCAACTTTAGGCGAAAGAGGCTCCTGGAAGCAAGCGCACCTAGGTCCCACCTTGTTGAGATTGATCCATACCTCAAATTCAAGTTCCAAGAGGGTGAGGGGCTGTTTTGGGTGGCTCAGTTCGAAGACTGCGGTTGGGGAACTGCTTGCAATGCAGAGTGGCAGGACACATCCGACTCTGACAACCAGCTGCTGGGATGCAAGCAGTCAAGCAGCTGACACGGGTTCAAGATAAAGACCTTCACCGGTAGAGGTGTATTGGAGGCTGACAGATGCCCCTGTATCTTAAGCTGCTGTAAGTCAGGGCATCCCAAGCTGCACTTGGGTTGAATGCCATCCGAGGTTGGCGCTCTTTGGCTTCTTCCAGGAGATAGTAAAGGACTCATGGTTGTAGGCAATATTAGTATGCATCTGGCCAGCCGTGCGCTCTCACAGTTGGGCTCAGGGTCTTGCCAATCTTCAGTATGAGCAGCAAGTGCAGCATCAGCAGTAGGTGCTGGTGGCGGCAGCAACACCAGTGAATCCCCAAAAGGGTGAACCCTTCCACAAGGTCAGAGCGTCGTCGAAGACTTTTCGAGCATGCATCGCCCCAGTAACGTAATCACACTCAACAACTGCTCTGGCTTTCGTGGTAGTGCCAAGACTCGCGTGGAGACGGAGGCAAGACCGCCGATCTCTTGGTGCCAGGACGTGTCGCAGGTCAACAGCGTCCAGGGGATATGGGCTGTGAGCCCGCGCCACGTGGACTTGAGCTTCCCAGGGGCTTTCAACAAAGCCATAGTATCGTGGCAGCACCTTCAGCCCAATATTTACCACAAGCATGGGTCAGCAATGTACAAGAGTCGTTTCACATTTGACCTGGCGAGGTGGGGAACCGACCTGACTTCAGAGCGTTCGACCCTGTTTCTTGGATGCGCGCAGACACTAAGCCCAAGACGCTGGAAAAACTCATGCACTTAGATTGGTTTTTGTATCGTTCGTTCATGTCCATGTAGCCCGGCATGCCCTAATCCGTTTTCTCGACAGGTGAAAAACTACCACGAGGGCACGGGCTTGGTTGCGAGGGCCGACCAGGCGCTTGCAGGGCCGTGCACTGCTTTGGAATCAACTTGGATCCTTCTTTGGCTTTGTTTTCGCCAGGAGATGTCTGATCCAGAGCTCGCGAAGCAAGCTCTGGAAGCTTGCTTGCAGAATCGGGTGTCACGCTTTGTCTGGCCATTTTGCTCACATTTTGCAGGAACGCAGGTGCATGTCGCAAAATTGATCTGGGCACTCGGTTAGCGCACCGGTCAGTTTGGCTGCTCGTGCACCTGCAACTCTTGCAGATGACGGAACTACCGTATGGTTTCAGGCTTCACGGAAATGCCTGGTTTGAGCAACGTGAGGTGAGGTCCTGCTTCTATTTCAGAAGGGTTGTGGCTTCAAGCTTGATTAAGTAGGAGGAGCCTACAGTTGTCTGGGAAGCAGAAAGATCAGACTTTCGGAGTTGGGCCTTTGCCAGGGATTCTTGGAGGCCGTGTCATGGAGATTGTGGTCCTTGTTGAAGGTACCAGCAGACGAAACGTATTCTTTTGTGAAACCTGTCGAACTTCAAGATTGAACGGAGTCAAGCTGCATAACTTTCGTGAAAGCAACAGTCTGTGAACTTCCCGACCCATGCAGAATCCAAACAACCTGCCAGACTGGAAAGAGCAGTCAGGCAATGTCGTCAGAACCCCGGTCCCAGGAAGACAGTCAGTTAGTGCTCCACAACGAGATTCGAAGAACGATGCTTGGCCAAAATGTATTCGGGTAGGGGCGTCGAAAAGCAGAAAGTCAGACCCTCGGCCCCCCGCCCCGCCCCGCCCCGTTTGCCTGCAGAAGTTCGGATGGGTGCGCGACTTTGACATCAGGTCAGACTTACAAATCCTTCCTGCTGCTTCGTGTCTAGTGTCTCTGTGTGTTAGCAGTATTTACGTCTCTCCAATGCTGCACGCATTGATTTCAGTTGTATCGTGATTGTCAGCTATAAATCCTAGCTTCAATCCAACCCCGCCCAAACCCTAAGCTAAGCGTTGCCTCTTATTGCAACGTCGAGAGGTCAGAAGCTGTTGAACTAGGCCTCAACATGTGAGTGAAGTCAAAGGTACACGTCCATCATGATGGCCTCCGGCCTTGACCCTTTCTCGCGGTCGTCATGGGAGTTTTGCCTGCGAGCATTTCCGTGCTGTGTTGCTTGCCTCGACCGAATTCGGGTTTCGCATTATTTGGTTGGGGACGCAGTTGACCCAGGCTCAGTGTGGATCTGAAGTCGAGCGAGAGCGGGATACTGTGAAGCATGCAAGCGTATGAGATGCTTCTGCTCGCAAGGGGCGAGCCAGCTTGTTTTCGAATACTGCAACGTAAGCTGAAGCAGGGTTGCGGATGAGGATGGATGAGTCCAGGGGCAGAAACGCTCAGGTTCTTCCTTTCCCAGAGGAGCATTTGCTGCCCCTGCCTCAGCTCGGAAATGTCATCACCGTGAACCTTCAGTTGACGCCCGGCCGTGCCTTTCGCAAGCCATGAAGGTGCACGCTGACATTTTGATTGTAGGATTTGTCGGGGCGAAGGCAACCAGTCAGTGTCTCAGGTCTCACCACTACTTCGCTCGGGAATTCCTTTTCGATCGAGGAGATCTAGAGGGCAACCAGTTTGGCGACCCTTTGACACCTTGGCTGCACTGGTGGAACCTGAGCCGATGTCGTATCAGGCAGCACAAGCCCTGGAACTTCTGACAAATGCTTGGCGGGTTGACTTTTGCCGCAGGTAGGGGCCTGCTGGGCGACGCAACAGAAGTCCCTTGTGATCCTGAACAGCTGAGGACATCAAAATCTTACAACAGAATTGTAGGCGAGATTGACGGCGAGGCGCAATCTGACTGCCTCGTTAGTCTATACGTCCATTCCGCAGCATGCATAGTGAAACCAGCGCAACCCATGCTGAGGGCTCTTGCTATCAGTGGATGTGCCAGCTGAACTTTGTTCCTCGGAGCAGGTTGCCGCGGATAGCAAGGGCGCTTACGACAGAAAAGCAGACGCAGCTTGCCTTCACGGTTTGTTCGTTTGACTGTGCCAGTGTGTGGATGCGACTGGGAATCTGGAATCCTGAAGTTCACGTGTTCAGACTGTCAGCCAGTAAAGACCGTGCATCGTAGGCAAAGGCGTGGAATCGCTTTCCAAGGTCGTGCGGGGCCACGCTGCTGCTCGTCGTCGGCGCGCCCGAAAAATCGTGCAAGACGCGTCCCATGGCGAAGCAGACAAAGCGCAGAAGTTGCAAAGGCACGTGGTGGTCGTGGCAGAAGCTGTCGGAGCGGCAAAGAACTAGCAGCTGATTCGTGGTCACCGTTTGCACCGGTAGCCATGCCTGTGCACGAAATGTAAGGCAGGAAAGAGATTCGTTTTCGGGCTATCCAGGCAACGTAGCTGTGCATTGTCGAGTTGGAGGATGAGCCTTGCTAAGTGAAATCCGGAAGGCCAAACAACAGCATTGGTAGGCGCAACACACAACCCCTCAGCCCAGTTGAACCCTGCAATCCCGGAAATGCCTGGAATGGAAACCACGAGGTTGGAACAGTGGGATGCCATCTTGGGTGTCGATCACCTGGATTGGTTGCTCCTGGGCGCCATCGTGGTTTCTGTGTCAGGCTCTAGGCATGGCGGTCTTGGGGTCTAGGTATGGTCGAGAGTCTGGTGCTTTTCCAGGTCGGAGAGACGCAGAGAGCAACTGGCAAGTGCTTGAGCGTCTTGCAACCCAGGAATACCTGTGAGTTGAATTCCAGCGGGTGCCTGAGCAGTGTCACAGATGTGCATCTCGGCCGCGCCGAAAGATAAGTCATTCTTGGGTCCGGGGTTCAGACTTGTTTTCCGCTGCTTGTTGTCTGAACCACTCTAGTCTCCAGGATCGTGATGGCCCCGATCACGATGACAGATGAACTTTGGCCGTGGCCTTACAGTGGACGCTCAAAGTGTGACTCTGTGCACATCTTCTCCCGTGCGAGCTGCGACAAGAAACCCTGTGGATGACTCGTGATCGTTTTCTTCGTGCGGAAGAGCTTTGGGAGCCGTGCACGGGCTTCCATGGTTCCGAGGTCAAAGTTGCGCACAGCCAAGAGACTTTGGGGCATGTTCTTCGCTCTTGACAATGCCGCAGAATACGGACATTGGGTGGTAGATGACAAGGCCTCTCGACCCGGATGCTTGTGCTTGTACCTGAGAGTTGTCAGCTTGAAACTTTTCTTTCCCAAGGCGAAAAACATTTTCCGGAACAACTTCAACACTGCTCTAGACGAGCAGGGCACCTTGCGCATGTTGAAGCAAATCCACACAAAGGAGCTGCGATGGTTGCTCCGATGTGTGTATGTGGACCCCAAACGGAGCATGTTGAGTGTTAGGCTTGCATAACGAGTCATATCTTCAATGCGTCAATGCGGGCAGCATTTGCACCCTTGTGGAGGAGCTGCGCGCGCACTTCCACCCAACAGAGCTTTTCAAGGCTGTGTGATTTTGGGCCATATTGAGCCTTCAGCTTGTTTTGCACACCCTAGCGGCCCTAGCGGCTTGTTGAAAGTTTGCTCCTCCCCTCACACTGGACTTGTCGACAGGGAGAGCTCGGGCAAGTGAGCTGGGCGGATGCTCGCGACCTTGTGAAGCCGGTCTTCGACCTCATGGCCAATGGAGGCTGCGGTTTTCCACGACTGCGTAGATCCGTTAGGAGCTTTCCATCCAGATCGAGCCGGAAGAAATTTGCTGGTAGCAATGTTTGAGGGTCACAGCAGCGCTGCTCTCGAAACCAACATGTAGCAACTTCCCGGAAGGCAGCATCGCTTCTGTGACTCCGATGTTGGGCCTGTACAACTGCAGCTCGGCAATGCTCATATTCCAGACGCTCGCTTGTCATCTGACCTTCGGGAACCCAGTCCGTTTGTTCTGGCCCCGAGCTCTGTCTGACACTTGGAAGGAACACTGCCGCAGATTCGTGTGTGCAAGAACAACGTCTCCCCATGGTTGTTTAAGCCAAAGTCAGCTTTCTACGTGACAAGAACATAGAGGCCGGTTTCGAAACCGCCGCCTTCCAACACGGGCCTGGGGTCTAGAGTCTAGAACGATAGGTATACGAATTGGTCGAGTTAGACGCCCGGATTTTCGGGAGAACTCTCTGGGGCATCCGAGCTCTGGCATGTCATCCTGCGGCCAGTTGTGCTTGTCATCTAAGGTTATAACTGTGCCAAGTCACCGAAGGGCGATCCACAGCAGATATCCGATCCACTAACGGTGTTTGAGTATCTGCAGCTCGGCGGAAAACTGACTGTCTGATAGCTGTTCACGGAGTGCGTTCAGCAGGAATTGCCTCCTCTGCGTTTCCAACGGCAGTCTGAATCAACACTGAAGCCTTCAAATCCTCTTGAGTCCACGGTACAACTGTCACCAAGCCGTGTGATGTTTCACAATACCCACAGAGTTCTAAGCGAAGACTGCAGGCATGCTCCGGCCTGTTGAGTACCTGGGGCATCCCGCGCTAAAAGTTTCTAGCAGCAAAGCAGGGAATCTGCGGTTGCTGAGCCGGGCTTGAAGTTTGCCTTTGTTTCTGCAATATACCAGCTTCTTCGAGCATGTGGAAAGCCCTCAACTGACTACTCTGCACAGGAACTTCTCGCAGAGATTTGCCAAGCAAGATGCCTCTTGCCTGAATGTCATCGTACGGAAGCGGGATTGGCAAGCTTGCAACTTCAAATCGTATGATGTGTCAGACAGGAAATGCCCACCAGCCCGCCTGCCCGCCCGCCCATGAGAAGAAGGCGAATAACATCTAGATTGGTGTAAATACAACTCAAAGATCTAGAAGTTGGTTTAGATGTGTGAAAGCACAACCGGATGGGTGATAATGCAACTAGGGCCTTTGGTCCAAGGGTCTATGGGTATTGTTGAGTAGTTGGGGAATTGGATTGTTGAAAGCGGCATCTAAAAGGACTCCATGACAACTTCGCTGTAACCTCTGATTGCCTACATGCCTTTCGGGCCTACATGACCGAAAGTATACCAACCGACATAATCATGTTAAGTATTGCCTACATGCCGTTCGTACCTACATGACCGAAAGCATACCGAAACAATCATGTCAAGGCCTCATTCGTGCTAGGGCGCAAAGAGAAGGGACGAAATCACAACCACTCTTTATCTCTTAGGTTTGGTGCTGGAACCTGAAGGCTGTATCATGGATTTTCTGCAGAGACTGTCCAAACTTATCAAGGCACCGCAATAGCCAGTTGAAGTTTCTCCCGTTTGGGCTAGCCACAATAATGGTTCAGTTGTGTTCTTCACCATATGGTTGTATTTTCCCCCCGTTTGATTGTATTTCGACCCGGTCGCGCCCGCCCACCCACCCGGCAGACAGGCAGGCATATGCTGCACATACACATATGTGTGTGTACATATATATATATCTATGTGTGTGTGTATGTATATTTGCATATATACATACAGGCACCCGTAGGCACGCATACGCATGCACAGACACACACACACACACGCACACACCAACTTGTATCTATGTCTATATCTATGTCTATATCTATATCTATGTCGATGCCCATGTCCACGCTTATGTCTATGTGTAGGTCCATCTAGTTTTACATGTTTGTGCAACACTGTACTTCATGTGTATCTCTCTCTCTCTCTATATATACACTGACATATGTGTATATATATATATATATTTTATGTATGTATATGTGTAAGTATATCCGTGCATGTGTACAACGGCATCATACAGCCTTGTCCAACATATGCCTGTAATGCACCAGCAGCAAACAACAACAGTGGCAAAAGGCAAGATAGGACAACTCCCTTGGTTGTGATCATGCATGTGGTCTTTTGTTGAACCGGCAATACTGCACATATGTACATATGTGGAAGCAGCTGTAAAACAATCAAGATGCATATGGACACATCCACGAATATATGGAATTGTGACAAGCCAGCGTTGCAGACATGGTTCATATTTACTACGAACGTTCATGCATAGCACATGCGGGGTTTTCGATAACATGCATAAAAAACGGTTTTCGTAATATGTCCTTTTTCTCTATGGCTGAAACCAGTGGAATCCGTCATTGTATATGCACATGAGTACCTCATCATGTATATACAGCATCAGCGCCGTCGCAGGCGCATACATAAAAAATAGTGTTGCACGTAACCGTATTCAATGTCTACATGTATACATATTTATATATAGCTACACATTTTTCTATACGTATATCTCAAGAAAAACTTGCCTATCTATCTAGTTCAATATCGGCAATGATTCACGCATGTACATAACATACGTGGAAGCGCCTGTACGAACAATCAAGATACGTATGGACACATCTATCAGTATATGTGTACATATATGACTCAAGCCAGATCTACATACCCGCTGTATACTTACTTTGAGCGTATATACACATAGATACATATAGGCACACACGCAGATAGGAACACCTGGAAAGGGGCTAATAAGCAGAAACTAGTTAGGAAAAGTCCGTTTGTTCCTTCAAAATTGGACATTGCAGCGAAGAACAAGTGCAAGACAAGTTGCAACTTTTTCGTGAATCGCGTGAGACAAAGAAGAGCACGTGCAGATTCCCTGTGTGGGAGCAATGCCGCACGGGAAAACAGCAGAACAACCGCGGAGCAGGTACCCAAAAGCAGCAAACACACCACAAAAATAGCAACACAACAAAAAATAACAGCCAAAAACAGTAAAACCAGACAACACAAACAACCATAAACCAAGACACACAACCACCACTGTTGCAGCCCTGTGCTAGACGTAGATTTTATTCATTTGTCTTGTGTTGTTTGTTTGTATTTGCAGTTTCTATTCCTTATAAGCCGTAATGCTCCCGGACCTTGAGGGCAGAGATCACAGCGAGGTCTATTTTTTCGATCATGACGTAATCCCGCCTCAAGTCGAAAGGGCATGCCGAAGTCAGAAGTTTCAGGTGAGCTATGCCTCCTTCAACCCGGAGGATTACATGCCTGCTGGAGCCCCGGAAATGCTGAAAGGAATCCCAGGACGAATTTTTGACCCGAGAGTTGCTGGACAAGTTTTATCGCTTGCCTCGGTCGTTTGCCTCGGTCGAGCTATTAGCCGGCTCAGGTCGCTTCCTACAGCCCTTCCCTCATTATGGCTGACCATGACACCACGGAGCAGCCGCTTTGCTAAGAGCAGCAAAGGCGAGCTTTGGAATAATGCCTACTGGGAATGTTCATTGAAACAGATGCACGTCATAGAGGGAGCACCGATTCAACGAGTTCCTTGAGGGTAAGCTCAGACAGTGCACAAAGGCTATCTATCCAGGCTTCTGTGATAATCAATCCGAAGTTTGAACCTTGTTTCTGGGCAATTAGTGTGCAAGGATTCAGTTTCTGATCCATGGAATGAAAAGCTGAGAGTTCCCGTTCTTGAGTTGGAGATCCTAGAGGCGCATTGGGGTCGCTTGCCAATGCCAAACCCTGGACCTGTGCGGCTATTTGTACCTGTGCAATGCAGATTCCCTTGCCTCGGAAGCCATTAAGGAACTACAGAAGCGCCTGGGAGTTTGCCAAAGGCGGATCGTGTGCAAACGCGGAAAATGTTGTTTCAGAAAATCTGGTGTCTTCGGGCATGGGCTGTTGCTTCCGCAGCTCGCACTGCAAATGCTCAACCCTGAGCACCCGAACACTGACAACCTCATCCTGGCCAGGTAAGGGCATTCCTGAGGAGAGGCTGCAGAAGGCTGTTCGCAAGGCACGGCGTGTGGCACTCGTTCCTTCGTTCTTATGCCGGGCTGCTGGCTGGGGCTGATCGTCCGGGATGGGCGGATAGGGTTTGGTTTGTTGGACTTTGTTGGGTCGCTCTCTGAACGATGCTTTGTCACAGAGTCGACAGAGGCTTCAGTATTACAAGGTCTTGGTCTCTTTCACCGCGTCTTCCGATTGTTGAGCAGCATGGCCAGGAGCAGGTGTTCGTCGTTAAATTCACGTACGAGCCCCTTAACAACGGCATGTACACCGGCCACGGGTTAGTGTTGCTCAGCTGCAGGAGACAGAGGGACAAAAGTGCGGGCAGGGGCTTGACACGGGCATTTTGCCCGGGGACGGTGACGCGTCCCCATGCCCGGGAGAGACAGAGAGAGAGAGAGAGAAAGACAGTGAGCCCTACTTGATGATTTATGCTAGGTATGCCGGGGGACTTGTACTAAGACTTCTGTTGTTTGTGAATTGTCCGCGGCATGTCGAGTAATTCAGGTGTCCCAAAGAATCACAGCGGATCATAAGAATGCCTTTCGGTGTGTTAACACTCTCGCGTGACTAATGTGAACCGGTGTGTGCTTTCACTGTCAATTCGCCCCATAACAAGTGGGGGGGGCCAATAGGCCAGGGACCTCGACGGTCCCCTAAGCCCTGTGGAAGAGGAAGAGTGAGAGAGAGCACTCAGAAATCAGAGCGGGGAAGACAATCGACTGCTCGCTGACTCGAACATAATACGATCACGGCAAGGCAAGGGCTGGCAGCAGAAAACGGCAGCTACCTGTTCTCTTTCTCGCTTGCTTGCTTGCTTGCTTGCTTGCTTGCTTGCTTCCGAGCTGGGGCACCTGCCTCCCCCCCGAAGAGGCTCAGTTCGTCCAGGGTCTTGCGCTTTGGTCGGCGTGACACCATCGCGGCTCTCTGCGCTCTACACCTTTGATCCTACCTCAAAGCCTTGCCCCCGCCTCCATCCCGAACCAATTAGAACCTTGCACGACACTGCCTCTTGCCTATACCTGCCTCAAATGGACGGGGCTCTGTGCATCATGGTGGTACAGGTGCTTGGGGTGCGCTCTAGGGGGTTTCTGGTTGGAGTGACGAGCTGCCATAGGCACGGAGCCTCGTCAACGGGGAGAACTGTGCAAGCGAGTGTTTTTGGGATCAGCCCGGGAGAGGAGGGGCAGCTCAGACCGCCAGTGCAGTACCCTGGCTAGCTGCAGGGTGATGTGATGTGGTCGCTGTAAATGTATGATCAGTGAGCTCCACCCACAACAAGTCGTGCTAACGCTGCAAGTAGGGGGAACGGATCCTGCACCAGGCTAATGATCAGCCCCAGAGTAGTTTTCAGAGTTCAACTTCTGGGGGCGGCGATCCATTTGGGCCTCAAACGAAAGACCAGTGCGGGTGCGTGCGCGGGGGCAGGGGAGAGTGTGGGAGTTCCCTCATCTTTTCCGTGGTGAAGAACGAGAGAAAGACAGTTGTTCCAAGGGGTTACTGGAAAGAACCCTGAACTTCAAACCACTTGTGACTTCCGAAACGAAGTCCAAGGAAGCGGATGCTCCCCGAGTACGGCAAGTGGCTAAGCTCCCTCCTCACGGCCAAGCCGGATCTCAAGGCCTCAAGACTCGGTTCTTTGTTGGAGTCTCGGTGCTTGTCAGCGTCTTGAGTCTTGGGGATTGAAGCGTAATTGCAGGTTTCGGATTGTGGGGGTGCAGGGTTTTGAAGCACAGAGGTGCGAGGTGTGAGGCTGCCGAGTTTGGCTTGAAAGGCACCCGAGCACATGTCGCTTTCCATTCCCATCCTAGAGTCCACCCGATGCCTGGCGATGAAAATGATGGGTTGAGCGGTTGAGCGGGAATTGGGGATTCGGGTACCGCAGAAAGATCACGAGGCCTCGCCGCCTCATAGAGCCTTCGGATAAGTCCACACCCAAGGTGGAGTGCTTTGTGTAAGCAGCTCCGCATTTTGAGGTCAGGTGTTCTTGCAGAATTCTGCTGCCGGCAGTGGTGACTGCGGTGTGGGTGTCAACACAGCGGCGCCAGTATGCAGCTTGTCATGCAAGCTGAAACAGGATGATGAAGATTTGCGGCTACAGACGAGTCCAGAGTTACTATGCCTTATCCAGGTGAGCAGTGCGCAGTGTGCTCCCCTCGAGCCCGTGGGTTCTTTTTTTTTTCATCCGTCGTCTGCCAGCGGGATTCTAAGGTGGAATCTCGGCGTGCTCGTGCCAGTGATTTTTCCTCCGAAGCAGAGCTTCTCAAAATCGGAGTTCGTGCAATGCTCGGATGAAAAAAGTGACTTGTTAAGTAGCCCTCAACATGCCAAAACAAAAAAAGCTACATGAGGAGCTTTGAGAAGCCTGCCTGGGCAGGCTATCCTCATCAGCCCAGAAATTGGTGGCTCACAATATCACAGGTGCTGCATGAGACCAGTCCTTGTTCTGGACTTCGAGCTCAGGTTAGCACTGATCTGAATACTCGAACGTGCTGCGTGAATCTTATGAGCACCTGCAACCTCTTTTGGCGCATCGGGCAAAGACTGCCCTCTCTAGCATCCAGCTGTTGGTCCCCAGGCGTCGGAAAGCCGCACAGGTGTGTGCGGCCAGACTCAGACCGTTTCACTGGCCTACGCCCTGAGCTTGGGCTGCGGCATTTGAGAACAGGTTAGTAAGGTGGACTGCTCTTCTGTAGTCTATTGAAGAGTCTGTTGCCTATTGTTCGATCGACATGTATCTTGTCTAGCCTTCTTTCGGGACTCGAGGGACTCGATTCTCACCGTTGCATTGTCACGGGAACCATCGTCCACACTACGGCTTGGCCGTACGAAGTTGTGGGCCGCAAGCCTGAACTTTGCTGGGTCACAGACCCCCGAGCCCCTATCCCTTTCCAACCCGCGACCGCCTAGTCGTAACCCCGCTACAAGTTTGCAGCCAAGCGGCCATCATGCAGACATTCGTGGCGAGACCTCCAATCCCTGGCTCGTCCCAGCACCCCATGCTACAAACTACCACTCGAAACAAGAGCACCTTGGGATGAGCTGGGGGGCTCTGGGGAAGTAACCGTCCGATTCCTTCGTCAGACCTGTGTGCGGGGGGCTGTTCAAATTTTTTGAGGTCCTGTTTTCCAAGGCGCAGTTTCCAAGACCAGATGTAGTTGCATGAAGGCTAGGGTAGACGTGCAGCTGCTGCATTGATGCAGGTTGGCGGACACTATCCGAGAACAGCCCCATCCGGTGTTTGGCCCCCGTGTCTACAAAGAAGTCTCTAAGAGACGTGAAGCAAAAGTGAAGATGTGCGGGGTGGATGGGTCGTGTGCATTCTACAGGGGACTCGAGACATCATCTAGAAGAGCCAGAGGAATAGCCCATGCCTTGGAATCAGGGTCCTGAAGTAGGAGAACCTTAGGCTCTTCTATAAGTGGAACATAGAGCACCACATTACAATATAGTACAGCCTTGAACCGTGCAGAACAGCAAAGTTGAGTTCGTAGTTTGCTAGACAGTGGTGTAGAGTGCAGCACGCAGCAGCATAGCAGACATCGTCCTGCGGCGTAGCTCGATCCGTGGATTCTGGGAAGGCTGGCAGCCTCCGCCGAAGGCCAGCAGAGGCCATGGGCAAGATTTGCCTGAACGAGTCCTCGAGATACATCTATATAAGTAGGCTCTCCGGTTACGAGATTCGTTAAGATTGTTCCAATAAATCATCATCGTGTACAGTACCGTCAGAGCTGCATGGTTTTTACCTATGATTCGGCATCATGTTCACTGTTACTGTTAATATCATGTCGTGATCGTTCTCTCAGTCCAGATTCCATCTGGGGGGACGGTTCGTGGGAGAGGGTCGGAGGTTTGGCCCAGGTGCGCAGGTTGGCCATCCCACTGCAAATGACAGCTAACTATGCAAAAAACAGTACTTAGATGATGATAAGAACTCTAATCATGACGATCACAATATGCTATAAATGTGATGCTCGCATAATAAGACAACGATACAACAAAAGTAGCAGACTGGTAAGTACAAATCATAGAAAGTGTTTCCTGCGGCTCTCCTGCTGTCTCGAAATTCAAACATTCCAGCCCTGCCGTGCCACCGGTTATTATCCGCCAAATGACCGCATCATATAGAAAGCCAAGTAACCAGGAATCAAAATGACAGTAAATGGTACCATCAGCCAAATCACTGCAGAGGGATGGAATAAACAAACCGAAAACAAAATCACAATGAACACAACAAATGAACATTTCCTCATAGCCCTCTCCAGCTGGATCTCGGAAGGACCACTGGAGAGCCAGTTGATGAAAAGGCATGACGAAGAAGAGCCTCTCCATAATGCCGGAGAGTCTTGGTCTCGGGAATGCTTGCGAGGGTGGCAGCCGCGACGGAACTCCGACCGGCGAGGTCGTGTCAAAGCTGGGCAGGCACGCCCTACAAGCTGACGGTCGTACGAGTAATGCTGAAGCTTCCATCGGTTCTTGGCAGAGTACTTCTCCCGGCAAACTACTTGGTCTACAAGTTTTGTAAGCTGGACAGTTAATACGGTGACTGGTAAGCCTTATTGCATTGCCAGGGGCTTGCTCCAAGTCTACAATGCGACGGACCCAGATGGGGCAGATCCCCACAGATTGCAAACGAAATGGAACACTCAACCAGACAGGGCGTTCATGGCACCAAGCTGTCAAAGAGTGATGCTCCATATGACATTCAAGCACAAGAAGTGTCCAGAAGATCTCCTGAACATCGAGGCACGTCCATACATGGCGCCTGTGGCCGTGCACCGGCCTTGCTGCTTCATGCCGGTGACAAGAGACACGAGCACACCACAGTTCCTTTTTTGTCTCGGTCAAGTGACGCCGCCAGATGCAAGTTCTCAAGTTGTCGAGCCAACGAACTCACAAACGGTCCTAGGTCCATCCTGGCCGACACATGTGGAGACCTCTGCCAGGGTGGGCACTACACACAAGTGCCAGAGGCCTTTCTTTTTCTCTCCGGTGCTAAGCGCATGCGGTTGAAGTTGCCGTCTGTCCCTTTGCAGTTTGGGAAGGGACTCTGCGACAGGATAAAGCACCAGGGTCTTATGTGTAAAGCCAAAGCAGATGTTGTACCTGAGCAGGTCATCACCGAGTGGAAACTGGCCCGGTGCTGAGCGCATCGCTGGTTGCATGAACGAGATCGACAATGGTTTTGTCGGCTTTAGCTGCTAAAGGTCTCAAGGTGCAGGTATGTAACGCACTTCGCAGCTGCTGTTGCGTACCTCGTAAGCTTGTCCAGCCTGTTGATGCAGAGAGTAGGAGACCCCGTAGGATCTTTGCCCACAAGACCTCTTGATCATGGACCCATCAGTTCCAGAGTCGATAGCGTGACTCCATGTGCCAGTCCATGCCGGGAAGCCAAAGAAGCCAGACATCCACGCGAGATCCTAAAGCCAAACTGGCAGGATCAGAAGGTCGGTGATGGCGAAGGGATGGCCTCGCCGAGCACTCAACTGCTCGGGGTGTACGGGCCTCGGGCTTGGAAGGGTTGCGATTCAGGCATTGAGGCTTTCAAGAAGTTGCGTTCAGATGAGGAAGGAGGGACGCGCATTCTGGGTGTCTGCTTTGTCCACCACCGAGGTTGGATGGCAACGCTTCTTGCTCAGACAAGCTTGGTGTGCAGGGGGTTAGTTGTGTTGCATTTGCATACTTGTTCTTCTCATCGGGCAGACCTTGCTTAAAAACTGCCTACCGACGAAAGGTTTGTGGGCTCGTGGTCGGCTTGCGAACCTCCTACGAGGCCGTGACATGCAATGATCGGGTTTAAGTGCGGGTCTTCGAGCCCCGGACCCCAAGTTTTGCTTCTGTCCACACCTGTGAGAAGGTCAATGAGCAACGGATTTTAATTGTTGTGACGAAACTGTCATGCGAAAGATCGCGCGCATACGATCTGTTGATGGTGGATGGGGTTGCGGCCAGCAGCGGTCACGTGAAGTATCGCGTGAATGTCATCTCTAGATGGCAATTGGGTTTGGCAGGGCAATGTCAGATTTACCTGGGCCCTGTGTGGGCGAATGGCAGCACTAGGCTTCTCGCGACTCGTGCCTGAAGGGGGCAAACGGAGATAAAGCAACACTTTTGCGAACAGAGGTGTGGGAGAATGACACATTGAATTCGGAGTGTATCTGAAGCACGACGCCTGCCATGCAAGGGTCTCTTACGGTGGTGTTACGCAGCACCTGAAAAGTTGACCAGTGTGCCATGGTACAGTGCCTGCACCGGGTATGTGATCTTGTGGCTGGACTTTTAATGTGGCGAAACTAAACAACAACTTTAGCAACCCCAGACTCGTTGTTTGTTCTGGGATATTTCTTGTCTTTTTGGGATCTGTTTGGCTGGGGGGGGGGGGGTTGGGGTGCGAATGC